AAGACAGGGTTTCTCTGTGTAGCTATATCTTAAACTTAGTATGGAGCACTTCCTTCCGCTGAGGCAATAGTTACTGGAATTCCCTAAAATTCTCAAAGCAATGCTTAGTTTTGGAAATTAACCACAAATTGAATGCATCATGATCTAGTACTAGAGTCCGTCATAAAAATAGGTGAGTGGGTTTTTGTCGCTGCAGAAGATATTACAAAATATTTTAATACTTTAATTTCATAACAAAATTTCCAAAATGTAGCTCATTGTGGTTTTCAGCCATTCTTACTGTTCTAAAGTGATTTGTGGATTGAACAGCTCAGCACACACTAATTCATTGGGGCAGTCTTCCACTGGGCACAAACTTTCTGTTCTCACCCTTTGCTGACTGTGATTCCAAACTGTTGAATGGAAAACCCAGAAACTATCCAACACTCTTAAGTAACCTCTGTTACAGTTAATGGTTACATTGTATTTCATCATTAGTTACTACCGATCTTATTGTGCCCACTTTATAACTTCCACTTTCTCAAACACATGTATGTGTAGAAAAAACAGTGTGTGCAGGTTGCCATGTTATCTGTGAGTCCAGGCATCAGCTGATGCCCCGGGATACTTCTGCTACGGATGAAAGAGGATGACTATACATATATGTGTTATGTTGGTTTGTCTTTGGTCAACTTGACACAAGCTAGAGTCATCTGAGAAGAGGGAACCTCAGCTCAGAAAAATGCAGCCATCGGATTGTCCTGTGAACAGGTGTGTGCTGCATTTTTTGGGCTGATGATTGATGTGGAAAGGCCCAGCCCACTATGGGCATTGCAGCCTCTGGGCAGGTGGTCCTGGGTTGTTTAAGAAAGCAAACGGAGCAAGCCAGGAGGAGAATCACTCCTCCACGGCGTCTGCTTCAATTCCCGCCTCTTTGTTCCTTCCTCGAGTTCCTGTCCTGTCTTCCTTAGATGATGGACTATGGTGTGGAACTGTAAGCCATATAAGTCCTTTCTTCCTCATGGATCTTTTGATCTTGGTGTTTTGTCAAAGTATTAGAAACCCTAACTAAGTCACCAGTGAAGAGACTTGGGATTGCCCTGTGGCAGCCGGGTGCTGTGATGCTAACCCTGTGTGTTGCCTTCTGACTTTCTTTTACAGTAGATGCTTTTCCTGTACCCTTGGTTGGATTCTTAAAAATGTGATGTCTTCAGTGATGACTCAGCACTTTCCTTCCTGAGAGAAGTTTTTCTTTTTAAAATTTATTTTTTAGTTTTTTGAGACGGGGCCTCACTATGTAGCTCTGCCTGGCCTGAAACTCACTATATAAACCAGGCTGGCCTCAAACTCACAGAGATCTACCTAGCTCTGCCTCCAGGGTGATGGGACTAAAGGCGTGCACCACCAAGCCTAGCTCATGCAAAAATTTTTCATCTACCATTCACACGTACTGTAGAGACACCAGTGGCTGGGGAGAACTCTGTGTCATCCTTAGAAATTTCTACAACAAAAAGTAGGCATAAATGCGGTCTCTAAGCCCAGATATGGTGAACAGAATTCTAATATGTCTCAAGATTCCCATTCTAGAGCACGATCTCTACATAATGCCTTCTTCCTGAGTGTAGAACTGGGCTCTATCACAGATGTCCCTCATGAGTAGGCACATGGCAGTCAACTTTGAGATCACCAAGAGGGAGACTGTTTGGGTTATTCTGGGCGTGCCTGATCCAGTCAGAGGAGCCTATAAAAGAAGAGTCCAGACAGACCTGGCTTGGAAGTTTCCAGACTGCTGTGTTGCTAACTGCCTGTGGGGTCTGGCTGGCAGAAGAGCAGCCTCAAGCAATACACAAGTTGCTAGCTGACCGGCGCTTACCCAAGGAAGTGGAGGATCGTAGTCTTGTACTACAAGATTGGAGAGAGTCAGGTGGCAAGCTCCCCCTAAGGGATGACAGAGCAGAGCCTGGCGAATCCCCAAGTAGAGGTTCTACTTGGCCGTGTGTGAACTCCTGACCCACAAACCTCTGAAGTAACAGAACCAAGAGCACTTCAGTCAGCGCTGTCTTTTGGTGTGGTCTGCCCTCTGAAGGCTCCTGTGTGGGATGTTCAGTGTTCCCTGCAGCCCATGTTGAGATGTTGAGACCTTTGAGAGTTAGGGCTTAATTGGAGGGGAGTGTGTTTTGGGGTTCTAACCTCATGAATGACTAATGCTATATCATGGGAATGGATCAGACCCTATGGGACTGGGTAAGTCACCACAAGAACATTGTTGTAAGCCCGACACATCCCTGAATTCCTTTTTTTTTTTTTTTTTTGGTTTTTCGAGACAGGGTTTTTCTGTGTAGCTTTGCGCCTTTCCTGGAACTCACTTGGTAGCCCAGGCTGGCCTCGAACTCACAGGGATCCGCCTGCCTCTGCCTCCCGAGTGCTGGGATTAAAGGCGTGCGCCACCGCCGCCCGGCCCTGAATCCCTCTTTTAAACATGGCTCCCACCATTGTGACATCCTCCACGTGGTTTCCCATCAGAGTCCCACCAATAGCAGAGCCACACTCTTGAGTCTCCAGAACTGTAGGCTAAATTAGCCTCCTTTATCATTAAAATACCCAACCTCAGGTATTCTAAGGAAGTGGGGGAATCTCCATCTTGTCACTACAAGGTTGAGGAGAGTCATGTGGCTTGCAAATGGAATTTGCCAGTAACCCTCATCAGCTTGGAAGAGGATGAATCTCCACAGAGCAGAGGAACGAAAAACACACTAGAAGAGCTATGAAATTATAACATGTGGCTCAGATCACCACTGTATTTTGTTAATGCCCCTCCCCACAACAGATTCCTTTCATGGCCGCATCTTGCATTTCCATTGCCCTGTCTCCCCAAGGCTGCGACCCTCAATCAGGGGCCTCAGGGAGGACCCCCTGTGTTCTAGGGTCCCATGGTCACCTCCCTATGAGCACCAGATCCACTAATGTATTTCAGTGCAGCGTTGGTCTGCACCCCCAACTTCTCCTGCTCCCCGTGGGCATTTCTGGAGGCTTCCTCCTGGAGCCACGGTGCTGCACTATGGTCAGGGATGATACTTTCCAACATTGCCAATAACAATATTCCCTCTTGCAGAGTCTCTGCTGTCTCCACTAAGAAGAGGATTCCAGTCCCTCCCCTTGCACCTGAGTGAGCTGGTGACTGTAGATTTGCTGGACAGCCTGTCCCAGAGGTGGGACAGAGGGAGCGAAAGGAAAGAACCATGTGTCATTCACTTCTGGATAATGACATTTTCCAGGGTCATTTCCCTGAGAGAAAAGGAGGTTGAAGAGGGTGTCCTTGGGTCTCCTCCCTTCAAAAAGACCTCAGGTAGGTCTTACTCCTGCACAATGTCCTACCTCTGGTGGTGCCCCCTCCTTGGGTTCTGGAACACAGTCTGGAGTGATTGCCAACGTCACCCATCACTGCTGAAGCATTGGTCTGCACCCCCGACTTCTCCTGTCTGTGTGTTGTTACATGGGATTGTGCCCAGCACACCACATGGTGTGTCAAGAATGAGCATAAGCAGGGCCGTGAGCTGCCTAGAGCCACTGCCCTCTCCTTGGCTCCGTGGAAATGTCCTCTGAGAATTTCTTCATATTCCTGTCTCCTTCATACTCCATTCTCCATCTCTTCTCCTAGGTCGTGGGACCCAGAGTGTGGTTCATAGAAGAGCTGAGGTTCTGGAACCTTTGGGCCTTGGGAGATGTTTGTGGAGGATGCCACTTTCAAAACTGCCCACAACAACTTGAGCATCTTAGTCCCTCACACTGTACATGGTGAGATTTTAGGACCTGGTCCTGGTGGGTGACTTGGCTGGGTGACTGCTGAGGCGCAGACACCTTCCATCTCTGTTTTTCTTGGGCCGTTTTCCCCTGATCCCAGACACCACGGTGTGAGGAAGTCCAGGCAACATAGAGAAGCCATGAGTCAGTGTTCTGGCGGACAGCCCAGCTCAAGTCCTCATCACCAACAGTGTTCGAGTGCCACATATGTGAGGGAAGAGCCTTCCGCTGGTCCCAGACGGAGAGGAGAAAGCCCACAGAAGCCACAGAGGATAATAACCGATTAGTGCCCTTTTAAAGTTAACCTTTTTGTTTTGAGATAGTTGTAGCAGGAGTCAACAAGGCTGTGGAGAGTCCCCTATACCCTCCACCAGTTCTGCCAAGGCTAACATCCTGCAAAACTACAGGACAGCCAAGAAGTAGTCACCCCCACCCCCACAGCTTCTTCCTGGTACGCTTTTATGTGACGCCCATCCTGCCACCCTGCCTGTCCTGCCACCCCTCACACCTTTTCTTTAACTCCTGATGACCACGACACTACATGGGGTTGTTTGTTTGTTTGTTTGTTGTTGTTGTTGTTTGCAATTTTCCATTTTAAAAGTGGTACCTGGGCGGAATCACAGTGTGTGGCTATTCGGAGTTGGCTTCTTTTACTCAGAGTGACTCCCTAGAGACTCATCCAAATTACACGTGCATTAGCTTGTTCTGTTGTGTGGCTTATCCTTAAGCCTTCACTTGTTGACTATCTGGGCCGTTTCCACCACGAATCTCTTATAAACCAAGCTGTTCAGAGCTCTCATGTGCAGACGCTCGTGTGAACAATACAGTCTTCGGCTTTCTGGGATGAGCGCCACAGTGCAATTGCTGGGTCATATAGTAGTCACGCTCTTCATTTTATAAGATGCCAAACTGTCTCCCAGAGTGCCTGTGCCGTGTCATATTTCCTCAGCTCTGTACGCGTCATCCATTTCTAGTCCTCTTAGTCAGTGTTTGTTGTTTTTAATTGTGGTGAAATATGTGGGACAGAAATAATTTACCGTCTTAGTCACTTCTGAATGGAGAGCCAGGGTAGCCTGACTCTAGAAGTCTTCCCATCCTGCCAATCTGAAACTGTTCTTGTCAAACACAAACTCCTCATCCTCCCTCCCACCACTGTCTGGCCAACCTCCACTCTACTTCCTGTTGCTATCAGTTTGACTTCCCCAGGGCCCTCCAATGAGTGCCATCCAATACATGTCCTTTTATGACGGGCCTATTGCACTGAGTACAATGTCTTCAAGGTTCATCCCCATGGTAGTATGTGTCTGAATTTCTTTCCTGTTTAGGGTTAAATAACATTCCACTGTATGACTATACCACAGTTTTTTAATGGGGCTATCCACCAATGGACACTTGTGTTTCTTCCTCATTTGGGATATTGTGGGTAACACTGTTGTGAGCACAGGTATAAAAATAGTTACTCAAGATCCCGCTTTTGGTCTCTAGAAGTACCATGTTGTGGTTTGACGAAAAATGGCCCCCAGAGGCCCATAGGGAGTGGCACTATTGGGAGTTATGGCCTTGTTGGAGTCAGCATGGCTTTGTTGAAGGAAGTGTGTCACTAGGGGGTAGCCTTTGAGGCCTCAGACGCTCAAGCCAGTTCACTTCCTGCTGCTTGTCAATCCGGATGTAGGACTCTCAGCTCCTTCTCCAGCACCATGTCTGCCTGCACGCCGCCATGCTTCCCACCGTAACGACAGTGGACTAAATCTCTGAAGCTGTAAACCAGCCCCAGTTAAATGTTTTCCTTATCAAAGCTGTCGTGGTCACGGTGTCTCTTCATAGCAATAAACACTCTAAACTAAGACACTAGTCCAGAAGTGGGATTGCTGATCACGATGCATCTTTCAGATCCTTTTTTTATGTATGTATACGTGTAGGAACATGTTCATGTGTGTGCAAGTGTATGTGTGCTTGAAAAGCGACATTTTAACTACAGAGCCGTCTCCCCACAGAGCAGTCTTGGTGAGTTTTGAAGAACTGATTTATTTTGTTGCACCTGTTGGGTGGTCGGAGGTGTTCTCTTGCTGTGATTCTGACTGTCCCGTAAGTGCTCGATGATGTCAAGCTTTCCCTGGGCTTGCCGCCGTTTGTGTGTGTTTAGTGAGACCTGTAAGCAAGTCCTTCCCCTGCTTCTCAGCTTCTTTTGGCTGTTGCTATGTTGTAGTAATTCTTTCTGAAATTTATATAATAACCCTTTATCAACCGTGTGACTTGCAGACAACACCCCCCACCCCCACCGCATCCCGCCCCGGCCTCGGCTCCATGGGTCTCCTCGCCATTGCACTGGTTGCATCCTTTGACACACGAGCTTTCAGTTTCTGTGTGGTCTGACTGCCTCAGTTTTATGTTATTGCCTTTGCTTTTAGTGTCATGCTCAAAATGTTATCGTCAAACCCAAGCTCGTGGAACACTTTCCCCTCATTTTCTTCTAAGAGATTTATGTTTTTAGCCCTTGGAGTTTGGCCTCTGACACATTCGAGCTCATTGGCCTATATTTTATAAGGTCCACTATAAAAAAAAAATCCTCCACCTTCCTTCCTTCCTTCCTTCCTTCCTTCCTTCCTTCCTTCCTTCCTTCCTCCCTCCCTCCCTCCCTCCCTCCCTTCCTCCTTCCCCTGCCTCTCTCCTTTTCTCTTTTTTTCTGTTTATGACTATTAGCTTTCTGGCCATGGTTTGTTAAAGGCCTGTCTTTCCCCATTGAAGAGTCTTCACACTATTCCTCATACACTCTACTGTCTGGAAGGAAATGTTGCCCCATGGTAGAACTGAAACTAAAGCCAGTTTTAAAAAGAAAATTATTTGACTCAATATGGGAGAGTTCCAGGCTTTCTATTTTATTCAGGTGGTCCATGTGTCTGCCTCTCCACCAGCGACACACCGTTTGAATGCTGTAACTTTGTAATGAGCTTTCTAAACAGGAAGCACAAGGCCTCTCTCTGGCTTTCTTCTTTTTCAAGAGTGTTCTGGCTACTCGGGGCCTTTTGAGACTCCATGTGAATTTTAGGATGAGCTTTTCTACTTTTGAAGAAACCATAATTGGGATTCTGTAGGATTAATTGTATCCATGGACTACTTTGTATATTTGAACAGGCTCTTGGGAATGGCTTGTTCTAAAAACCATGCTCACTGGGGCTACAAGATAACTGAGGAGTGAGGATAAAGGCCTGATGTCTTTGCCTTCACTTTGGTCCTGTTGCCTTTACTTTCAGTCCCCCCCCCCCCCACCTCTGCAAGCACCTTAATCACTCAAGGAATGTCCATCTAGAAGCCAGGATTACCTAAACTTTCTCATGCTTCTTTGAGGTGGAAGGATCAAAGGTCACTGTCCTAACCCCACAGGCACCCAGAGTTCCTGGAATAGCAAGGCCCCCAAAGCAGGGCAGAGTCTCCCAAGATGGAGACAGCTGTATTCCCCGATGGAGAGTTAACCCTCCCCATGCCTCAATGCGATTGGCAGATGAGGAGTGTGTCAGGCCATTTTGTAGGTCAGGAGTTGAGACAATGATCAACACGGCCACACTTCAAGCAGGTCTGCTTACTTGTATATACCCCTTCACCTTGTCAGATGCTTCCTCTGTTTAAAACTGAAGCTCACCTGCCTTTAATCCCAGCACTCGGGAGGCAGAGGCAAGCGGATCTCTGAGTCCGAGGCCAGCCTGGTCTACAGAGCGAGTTCCAGGGCAGCCAGGGCTACACAGAGAAACCCTGTCTTGAAAGCAAACAGAAAAACACCCCCTAAAAAAGCAAACAAACAAACACAACCCCAAACTTGAAGCTCTTCTTGGTACAAACCTGGGGTCCCCAGACTTCTTTATCTAAATCTCCCTTTTCTGTGTCCACCATGACACCTCTCCTTAACTGATGCACGCTGCTGGTGGCTGAGCCTAGACTGATGGAGCTGCCAGAGCCAGGTCTTCTGCCACAACACTCCAGTTACGGCACTGACATTTGAACAAATATTTTCTTTCAAACCATTTTTTTGGTCATATTTAATTTCTTTCAACAACATTTTGTAGTTTTCCTTCGACTTGATTAAATTTATTAAGTATTTTATTCATTTTGCCCTTGTCATAAATACGGCTCTCTTATTTTTCATCAATTTTCATCTATTTGTTCTGTTCTTGAAGGTAGATATTAAAACCCCCTGCCATTTACTATAGAGTTATCTGTTTCTCCCTTCAATTCTGTCAATATTTTCTTCAGGTGTCTAGAAGCTCTGCTGTTTGGTGCCCATATATTCATAATTTTTACATCTTCTTGGAAGATTGTGTGTGTGTGTGTGTGTGTGTGTGTGTGTGTGTGTGTGTGTGTGTCTTTGTGGTGCTATGAACACGTGCATGCAGGTGTGACTGCAGGTGTGTGGAGGTCTGATGTTGAAGCTGATGCCAAGTGTTTTTCCTGGATGGCTCTCCACCTTTACAACCCTGAAACTCATCAGTTTGGTAGGCTGACTGGACAATTGACTTTAGAGGTCTGCCTGGCCCCTTCACAACACTGGGGTTACAGGCATGTAATGACATGCTTACCTTAAAAAAAAAAAAAAAGCAAATCAGGTACTCAGGCTGGCATGGAAGACTTTTAACAACTGGTCTCTGATCTTTTTTAATCAATGTGTAATTTCCTATGCCTAGTGTTTGTGGTGTGTGTGTGTGTGTGTGTGTGTGTGTGTGTGTGTGTGTGTGTGTTTGATCAAAATTTTCTTTCCTAGTATGGCGAGCCCAAATCCTTTTTAATTACTGTTTCTGTGGATCACCTTTTTCTATCCTTCCTTTAAAAAGCAAAATATCTTTTATTTGCTTTTTAACAATATCATACATGTAAACAACGAGCTTTGATCATATCCACTACCAGCTTCTCCCTTCTACTCCCTCAGACACTCCCAACATGTTCCTCTCCCAACTTCGAGTCTACCACCCCATAACCCACTAAGTCCAATTACTGCTGCCCCTCGGAATGCTAACGGAGCTTGCTGGCTTGATCTTCGGGGAACAACAGCTGCCTTGAGTTCATGAGTGCAATAGCTCTGTCCTGTCCTGAAAGCAGAACCTCACTGCCTCCTTCCTCATCTGCTGGCTCTTTTGTTTTTTCTACCCTCTCTCCTCCACCTTTCTTGACCATTGTGGTGAGTAAAGTTAATTAAAATGCCCCGTTTTGGACTGAGAATTCAATAGTCACTGGTTCTCAGCACTTGGACCAGTTGGGAATCTCTGAATTAATTGGTCTCCACTGCACAACCCTTCTTCTCAACCTGTTATTTCCTTAGATTTTAATAAAACCAAGCCTCTCACAGGTCATAGAGTCCAACTCTGCTTTTCTTTCTTCTCTAGACATTCTGCCCATTGATGACTTTCAGTTTTGGAGTTTAATCCATGTATGTCTAAATTTCTTTCTGGAAAAGAAGATCATGCTATTGTGTCCTTAAAAATTATTTTATGAATATCAAAACTTTCTTTTGGTGTCTTGAATTCTCATGATTGTTTCCCCCATATTTAACTGACTTTTATGATGCAACACTTGGATTCGTTTCTCATTTTTGGTTGTATATATCCTATGGACTTTTTTTTTATTGTTACTATGGTGACTACAGCAGATATTCTAAAGTTAAAAAAATTCATCTATTCTCAGATGTGCATGGAATCTTCTCTAAAACTGACTGCATTATAGGCCATAAAGCAAGACTTAAGAAATGCAAAAATGAAAACAATTCCCAATGCATCCCATAGTGGAATAAAACTAGAAATTGACAGCTAGCCTCAGAAAATACACAGACATGTTGAAACTGAACAACATACTGCTGAATTAAAAGTGGGTCAAAGAAATCAGATGGAGAATTAAAAAACTGCTAGCAGTCAAAGGAAAAGGAGACCCAAACCTTCCAGAACCTATGAGACACAGCCAAGGTGGACTTAAGAGGAATGTTTACAAGTACTCATATAAAAAGTCAGAGATCTCCAGTAACCCAGTGATGTACCTCAAAGCTCTAGAAAAGCTAGAAGAGGCAAACCCAAGGGCTGCAGGTGGCCAGAAACAGTAATGAGCAGGGCAGAAATTAGTAAAACCGAGACCGAGAACAGCACAGAATTAATCAGACAAAAAGCTGGTTATTTGAAAGTATTGTCAAGGCTGGCCATCCCAAGCCAAACTAACTGATAGACAGATTCAAAATTAATAAAATTAGAGATGGAGAAAGGAGTTGTTACAATAGATCCCAGTGAAATCTAGAAGGCCAGGGAACACTATGAACATTCACATCACAACAAACTGGAAAATCTAGAAGAAATAGCTTTCTAGGGGCACGTCACCTAATGAAGTTAAAGTCAAGAGCTAGAAACACCCTGGATGGACCAATAACAGCCATGAGACTGGAGCAGCAATTCTAAGTCTACCCACAAAATAACATCCTGGACCAGATGAATTTACTCCTGAGTGCTACCAAACTTTAAAGGAAGATCTAATGTTGACACTTCCCAAACTGTTCCACAAAATGTAAAGGGAAGGAGTATTGCCCAACTCATTGCACGATATCAATGTAACTCTGACATCATAGCTGGGTAAAGACATAGCCATCAAGAGAATACCGCAGATGAATGTGGACGCAGAAATCCTCAACAAAATACCTTCAAAGTGAAGGGCATATTAAGAAGATGGATAGTACACCACTACCAAACTGGCTTCCTACCAGGGACACAAGGTTTGTTGAAAAAATATATTAATAAATATAATCCACCACAGCAATAGACTTATAGACAGAAATTACATGATCAGATGAAAAAAGGGCATTTGATAAAGTTAGCACATCTTTAAAAATTATTTATTTCTTGGGAATTTCATACAATATATTTTGATCACATTCACCCTCCTCCCCAACTCCTCCTAATCTGCCCTCTCACCCCTCCCTCCTTACCCATCCCTGCACATTTTCTTCTTCTTTTTATCCCTTCGTCATGTCCAGTTTGTGTTGTCCAACTAGTCTTTGAGAGTGGTTCAACTGGTGTGTGGTCCAGCTCACATCAATAGGCTCTGCCTCTCCCCAAAGCTATCCAATGCCAACAGCTCCTCAGCCAGTGGTGGGATTTGGGGTTCACTTTTATACCTTTATGCTGGGATTTTTATCTGTCTCGAGCTTACACAGGACTTGTTCATTCAACACATTTTTTATGGTAACAATCCTGAAGAAACTAGGGATAAAGGGAACATACCTCAACACAATAAAACTCTATCCCTCAAACACAGAGAGGATTGTGACATCACAATGCTACACTGTGTGCTCACCAGGTTCCTTTGTGCTATTACAATGTGGCATCACAGTGTTCCATTCTTCCCCTGTGATGCTGAATTATGATGTCATAATGCTTTAGTGTATCCTTAGAAGATTGCTTTGCGCCATCACAACACCCCACTGTGGGATCAGAGTGCTTTATTGTGCCATTAAAATAGTAGATTATATTATCGCAGTGCTCTGTTCTCCCATAACAATACTTCATTTTCCCACCAAATGCTTTACCAGTATCACAATGCTGTATCACGTCACCATCATGATGATACTTTGTGACATCATAGTACTTTGTTGTGTCATAAGAGGCTATATTATGACATCACATGCTCCATTGTGCCACCAAATGTTCCATTTTAGCATCACAACCTACATTGTTATTGAAAATGCTGTTTTGTGTCAACATAATACTTCATTGTATAATCATATTGCTGAATTGTGACATCAAAATATGACATTATGTACTCATAATGGTTTATTGTGACATTACAATCTTAAATTTTTGTGACATCATAATCTCAGTGCTCTGTGAGATTTGCTGTGCAATGTTTCATTACAATAGTATAGGGAATATCATTACAGTGCTGAGCTATGATATCAGAGTGCTTCATTTTGTAATAATAATGGTCCGTTGTAATATCACAATGCTCTATTTTATCACCACAAAATATATTGTGCCATCACATGCGTCATAAAAATGGTTCACTTTGACGTCACAGTATTACAGTGTGACATCATCATGCTCCATTGTTTCATCACAGTGCCCAGTGTCACCATGGTGATATATGGTGTCATCACAGTACTCTTCTGGATTGTGATGTCACAATGCTTCATTGTGTCCAAATAATTTTGCACCATGCCACCATAATCCTCCATTTTACCACAACAAGCTACATCTCAATGTCACAATGCTACCATGTACCGTCACAGTTCTCCATCATGTCATCATAGTACAAAACTGTGACATCACAGTGTTGCCATGTTTCATCATAAGGCTGCATTGTGCCTTCATGAGGCCCCATTTTACCATCACAATCTACATTGTGACATCACAGTGGTCCATTGTTTCACCACAGTTCTCCATTGAGCTAGCCCAGTCACGTATTGTGGCATCATAACGCTCCATTTTTGGCAACCAAGTGCTCCGCAGTACTATCACGATGCTGCAGTTTCATATCACAACAGTTTCAAGTGGTCCATTTGGACATCACAGTGTTACACAGCAAATACTTTGATCTCACTGTCCTCCATCATGCCAAAAAACAGTATACTTTGTCATCAGTTGTGCCATTGCAATGTTCAACTATGACATCACCATGCTTTATTATCTCACACCACATTGTGCCATCAAAATGCTCTAGTTTATCACAGCAAGCTACACTGGGACATCACATTGCTCTACTGTGTCATTATAATGCTGTACTATGATACTGCAATACTGAACTGATATCACAATGCTTTATTGTATCATAATAATGCTGCACCATGATGCCTCAATTCTCTATTTTTAACGTCACAAGCTGTGCTGTGACAACACGACTCCATATTGTGCTGGCTCAATGCTTTATTGTTTCATTATGATGCTGATTGTGCTGGATTATGACATCATCATGCTTCATGTGATATTACAGTGCTCAATTCTCTCATGACAATCCTGTATTGTGCCGTCCCAGTACTGAACTGTGACATCACAATGCTCCATTTTTTTTCTACCATAGGAGTACATTGTGCCATTACAATGTAGCATTACTATGCTGAACAGTGACACCACAATACTTCTTGTGTCATAACAATTCTGCATTGTGTCATTACAATATTGAACTCCGGCATCACCATGCTCCATTTTTCCACCAAAGTAATTCATTGTGTCATCACAGTATAGCATCATGACTTTACTATGCTGAACTGTGACATCACAGCTTTTCTTGTGTCATAACAATGCTATATTGTATCATTACAGTACTCTATTGTGCTGTTAGATTGCTGAATATTAATTACCATCACAATGCTGCACTGGGACATCATAATCTTAAATACTACCACTACAATTCTCTATGGTATCATCACAATGCTTAATTGTCACATCACAATACTCCACTGTTTCTTCAGAATGCTCCATTGTGCCATCACAATGCTGTGCTGTGACATCACAATCTTTAATTTTACCCTCACAGTGCTTCATTGTGCCACAGACATGCTGAATTGTGACTTTATAATGCTCCATTGTGCCATCATATTGCTCCACAATGTCGGCACATGCTGCAGTGTGCCATCACTATTGACATTACAGTAACACATTGTGACATCATAATGAGCCATTGTTTCATCCCAATGGTTAGCGTTTCATCAGAGTGCTCCATTATGCCATCACAAAGCAGCATTTTGACATCACAATGAACTGTGACATTGCAGTGTTTTATTGGATCATGACAATGTTGCATTGTGCAATCACAAACTCCATTTCAACAGCCCAAACCACATTGTATCATCACAGTCTTCTACTGTGTCATCACATTGGTCTATCACAAATGTACTTTGTGACACCATAATACTCCACTGTGTCACCATGATGCTGGACTGTCAGATCACAATGCTCCACAATTTCACAATACACCATTCTTTGATGACTGTTCTGCATTGTATCATCACAATGACGCATTTCCTATGCCATCACAATGTTCCATTGTCTCATCAAATTCTATGTTATGACATCACAGTGCTGCATTGTACATTCACAATGACCCACTGTTTCATCAGAATATTTCACTGTGCCAACACAACATAGATCTGTGACAACAAAATGCTGAATTTTGATGTCACATTGGTGAATTGTCCACAATACTCCCTTGTGACATAATGCCCCACTGTTTTCTTTTTCTTTGTTTCTTTGTTTATTTTCTTCCATTTTGTACCTTTGATAGAGTGATTAGGCAATATATATGGATCCTACAGAAAAAGACTCACTGACAAGCCAATTCTAAGAACTAGTTTTAAGGAGAAGGTAAGTACACAGAGATGTGTCCTGCAGAGACTTGTTGATA